TTATATTCAATATATCATTATTGATTATGATTATATCTACACTATGTATAGAACTCTCTCAACTCTGCCTAACTCTCTCTCTCTGCCTAGCTCTTACTAATATGTATAAATGAAAGAGTTTAAGCTGAGTTTGTGCATGGAAAGTTTTTTGTTTTTCCTTATGCTTACTGGATTAGTTTAACTATTTATGAACTGTACTTCAATGAAAATTTTCCAAAGATAGCAGACAACAAGACTCAAGAGCTCAACGTTCTTTCTTTTACTTTTACATTTCAACTAAAAATGATCATTATAATTACATATAACAAAGCGATGCATTCAATTGAATTTAGTAAATAGGTTGATCAAACTTTACGATAGGGGACTAGCCTGAAAAAAGTAGAACAGTTATACCGACTGCCAGGCTTTATGATAAGCCAAAACAAACAAACAAAATTGAATTATTGCTTGAATTTCGATGAATCAAATATAATTTTTTATAATTTTTCTGAGGAAACTAGAAATTATGTTTAGTGTTCTTCTTATTCCTTCTAGAAACTTATATTTATATTTGTCATGAACTCGACTCTTCTGAAAATCTCAGTCGAAATCAAATTTAATTTGAATGCAGATTGATTCAATTGTATTATCTTTCCAAGTTCAATATTTGCTCCACCATTGATCTTCAGCTCACGATCAGAGACTTGAGCAAATAAACAAACGCGAGCCAAGGTTTCGCAGCCACCTTGCACGACTGAAGGCAATTGACTTGAACTTTAGCGACAGATCACGCATCAATCATAGGAAAATAGCAACGGGAAGTGTAATTTAATTAAATTCTCAGGGCTGAGGAACCGCAAAACGCAATCAGAATCCTAAGGCGGTGCAGTGGTTAAGTTGAGTTGCGTAGTTTGCATGCCACGCCCACATACCAAGTGCATTTTTCGATCAAAATCAAATTAACCTAGATTCAGTTAGATTCATTTTGCCCAGACATATGCTGTGTGAGTGTGTGTGTGTGTGTAAGTGTGTGTGTCCCCATTATTTTTTTGATGTCTTTCAAGCGGTTCATTGAAGCGCATCCAAGCGCATTGGCAAACGGAATCAATCTGGATGATTGAAATGTTGCACTTCAGTGCCACAAACAATTCAATTTGCCAGCAACAAGAGTCTGCGATTACATGTGCAGTCAAAGAGATTACAACCACAAACGCTGACCGCACCCACCGCTCAACACACACTGAATACCCGCACACAGCAGCATCCGCCCAAATGTCAGAGCAATCTGAAATTCATATATTCACTCTGCTCTGCTCGGCTCTGCTTTGCTCTGCTCCATTTCGATTAGAACGACGCCAGGTATGAATGGCTTGTACTTTCAGCTCCCACGTTTCCTATGTCAAGCACAGTCATCATCATCATCATCATGTTGCTCTTCTTCTTCTTCCTCTTCACTTGACACACAAAAGCCGCTTGAGCTCTTGTACTCGCTGTGAGCTCTTTAAATATATTCATTCTGCCGACGATCATTGTGAGTTCTCTGCGTTCATTCACTTGCCTGCCTTATAGACGATATCTGACCCATTGTCCGGCGCTGTGACACGTGCCTAATGGACAACGAGTGTGTCGTAACCGCAATGACTCGCCTATAAGTGCAACACTTCAGTGGGTCTCGGTACAGATGCGATTGCTTAATCAAATGGAAACAGATCGGTAAAAGATAGATTCATGTCACACACCTGGTTCGTTTCAAGGTGTGCTGAATGAATGCGCATACATTTTGAGTAGAAATCACTTTTGTAACTCTATTTGTTTGCCTATTTCATTTATTTGTTTACCCACAACTTTTGAGAATCTCTGAGAGAGGCGCACCCTCGTTGCTTATGCTGGGAACTGGCCAATAAATGAATAATTCATTTGTCATTTTAAGTGATCACTGAAGTGTCATAAATTAAAGCGGCACATCGTTAAAACAGAGCAACTACAAYAACAACAACAACAATAACAAACAATTGTGTCCATCATCAAAAGCTTTCAGCAATTATTGTCGTTGCTGCCTTTTCATTTTGTTTACTATCATTTAGCTGTTCGGTTACATAATGCGGCTTGTGCGCATCGTTTAAGGAAAATTAACTAGAGAGTCTCTTACTATTATTACCTACTCAAGATTAGCGGTAATTCTAGTACCTAAATTTATACATCCAGATCTGTTTATATATTGTAGTGGAAAGAATGAATGCCATCATTCCTCAAATAAGAGCTGCATCTGGCGAGGACAAGGTATTTCGTAGTCAGACCATTTCCAGTAGGCTAATTACAGTTATGCTTAACTGGTCAGCAGCTTGCGCAATGCAACTGTATCTCAACAGAACTTTTAGTTAAGCGCTATAAACAGCACAAGTCGCAGATAATTCTTAATACAATTCAGATTATTATTTCTCTTATATCTGCCACTGGCACGACCCTTAATAGGCAATGTAACGATAGCCCCGTGCTATAATATCGTATTTCAAACTATCATTTAACGAGATTTATTACTTATGAATATCAAAGATTTGATGTGCTCTCCGACTATTTAATATATAAATCAGATAGCTTTAATACTAAGGCTAAGTAAAACTTAATTACAGATTGATAATTCCTTTAGTAGTTATATAGACACAAATGGAACTTTTTTCATAATCAACTAAATCATGCCGAGTTCAGATAACTTTGGCACCATTTCTAACCAACTTATCTAGATTTTTATTGAGACTGAAGTCAGTTGAGAAGAGAGAAGGTTAAAGATGCATATGCTTGTCAGGTACGAAACGTAAGATAACAAGTAAGAAAGCTCTAGTCGAGACTGCTCGACTACGAGATCCCCTGAACCCTTGGAGCAATAGATATTTCAATAATTTTTCGCGTCTTTCAGCTTACAGAAGAAACACGCACACACACACACAGGCACGTACGCACACACAGGCACACATACACACACACGCATACAGACACACATACACACACACACGCATACACACACAAACGCATACACACACACACATACACACACACATACACAAACACATACACACACAAGCACCCACGCATAAACACGCATGGGCTGCAGTGTGCGCTTACTATGAGAACTTAATTGTTTAATAACTTTTTTTATGGACGTACGATCTTCATGAAACTTTCAGATTNTCTTATATCTTCTGAAATCGACGCGTTCATACATACGGACAGACGGACAGACGGACAGACAGACGGACAGGGCCAAATCAACTCGGCTCGTCGCCCTGATCAAGAATATATATACTTTGYGGGGTCTGCCACGCCTCCTTCTCCCTGTTACATACATTTCAACAAAACCATTATACCCTGATTTCCCATTGAAAATGGGTTCAGGGTATAAAAAAAAACTCAGCAAGATTAAAGCGGAATACGTAAGAAATATGCCATTTATTCTCTCTGCCATTTGGCAAGCGAAACGAAGTGACGCGGCGGCTCATTAATCAACTGCGTCATTTGAAACGGGAAGCCACAGTGTCTCTTCTCTTCTCCCTCCGCAGCAGCTCTAATCTGCCTGCATCTGAAATGAGCGCAAGTTGAAAGCCCATTCAGGTTGTGTTTGCCTGCGCACGAGAGGCGGAGGGGCGTGGCCCCTGCATTATGCTCAGCAGCTGGGCAATCCTGACTTCGTAGTGTTTGTGTAGAGGCCCTGCGGCCACTCAGTGCACATCCTGCCATTAGCTGGGGCCGTAGCTGGCGACTGCGCCTCATTTAATTGCATAATTTATTGATAATTAAATAAGAAACTCTTTCTGTCTCATCTGGCTCGCTGCAGGCAGCAACTCCCACAACAATTGCCGCCGATGAGGTGAATGCACTTGCACTCCAACTGGAGGCGGTAAGTCCCCCGCACCAGCGCTGCATCAATTAAGACACAGCCCCAATTAGAGAAAGTTCAGAGGCAAACCAAGCGGCAGCAGCAGCAGCAGCATCTCGTCAAGATGCCATCGCTCCGGCAAAAGGTCACCACGTACTTTCGACAATTGAGTTTTATAGCGGAGCCGCGCGACGGCCGCAGGCGCGTCAATGGCAACGCCGAGGAGGACGACGGCAGCTTCATTACCAAATATCTCGAGGGGTATGTGCGCCCTCTGACCTTTTCCATAGTTACATAGTTACAGCTTCATTATCTTGCAGTCGTATGGAGCGTGAGTTTATGGCCGGCGGACCGGAGATCTACAATGGCCAGAGTCCCACAGACATGCCCGTGCTGAAGCTGGGCAGCTACGACACCGGCCCGGACACGATCATTGCCGCCTGCACAGGCCCGGACGAGGGCCTGACGGGCATCAAGCGCTCGAAATTGCATTTAAGTGCCAGCTATGCGGATGATATTGATTTCATCGATACGCAGCAGGAGAACGAGGATGCGTATGGCGTGCGCAAGAGTACGCCGCCGGCTCCAGTGATCAGCGCATCGACAAGGCTGAGCAACAAGTTTGCGCGGCGCCAGAGCAGTACGGATCAGAGCGCGGCGGGCACGGGTACTGCAGGAGGAGGCACTGTCGCCTCAGGGATGCGATCCAGAAAGAACTCAAAGAGCAGCATTAGCGCCTCATCAGCTGCGGCGAGAGAGAGCGCCGGTGGTAAAGCCACCACCATAGTGGTCAGCATGGTCAGCAACAGCAGTCCTGCCCAGGATCAGAACAACAAGAATCTCTTGAATGCCAAGACTGAGGCCTCCACGGCAGCTGGCAACTCGGAGCGCGAACGACTGCTGCGTGAAGCCGTCAGCAATCAGAGCAGCACACCAGCGGCCACACCCACCGCCCTCTCCACGCCGGTGGCTGGCGTGCAAAACTGGCAAATGGATTGCGATTTCGCCTACGGTATCTCAGTTTCCCTCTACGAAAACAACATGCTGACCAAGGAGCCAATGGGCAATCCCATTGCCGATTGCTATGGCTGCGTTGTGCGTGGCGATGCCGCTGCCATGGCCATGGCTGATGGCGTCAATTGGGGTGAGTCTAACGAATGTCCTTCACAAGTTAAGTACATGTTTAGGTCATTTAATAACTTTTATCCCATTTTCCTTTCGAGCTCGAATAACATCCTCTTCCGCTTTCCAAAGGTGATGGCGCTCGCCTGGCTGCTCGCTCCGCTGTGCACGGCTGCCTGGACTATTTGGACCGCGCCGTGTTTGGGCAAGCCCACGAGTGTCGGGCCACCACCACACAGGAGCTGTTTGTGAGTCTGTTGCGCAGCCTGTGGGAGGGTCACGGCTGCATACTGGAAGTGGGCGGGGCACTTTCCACGCTAACCATTGCTGTAGTTCTGCCGCTGGACGGTGCAAACGGCAAGTATGTGGTCTGTGCGTGTAATGTGGGCGATTCCTTGGGCTACGTGTACTCGAAGAAGCACGGTGTGCGGGAACTGACGCAAGCATCCCATGATATTAGCTCCATGCGAGATATGCGTGATGCGCTGGGAGCGCTGGGACCCGCCGATGGCAACAAACCCGAACTGAGCAATCTCACCTTCTCGATGAGCTGCATCGAGCGTGGAGACATTGTGTTTCTCACTTCTGACGGCATCAGCGATAACTTTGATCCGGTCGTCGGCAAATTCGCTGAGGCTTGGACACCTGATGTAAAGCTCCAGCAACTGCAGCCAGGGAATCTGGCGCCGAAGCGACAGAACAAGAGTGCCTCAGCGATCTATGCTCGCTTGCATCCGTCGTCGGCCACGCCGCCCTGTCGAACACGCAAGCCAAAAGCCGGCAGCCCACCAAACGGAGTGCCCAGCCGGCCCAAGTATATGCGCTCCCAGACACTGATCGAAGCACGCCATGGAGTAGGCGCCGGTGCCGGGGCACCAGCTTCACCAACACCGCCAATTCAACGCATTCCCAAATCGGCGATGGGCCTGCCACTGGTCACTGGGCCGCAACGGCATGCCCTGACGCTGCACCGACTGGAGGACTTACTTAGTTACGGTATTAACGGTACTTTCTCACCCTGCGCCTCGGCACGGCGACTCTGCCACCTACTGATCGATTTTGTGCGCATGATTACCTCCGCACGCCGCAAAACCCTCGAACAGCGGGAACTCTTTTATAAGCTGTCCACCGGCCCGGATGGGGTCAAGCGAGAGGTGCAGCTGAACCGCATGCAGCACAGAGCGGCCCGCAAACGAATCGTTGACAGCAGTGCATTTAGTGCGTTGCCTGGCAAACTGGATCATGCCACTGTGTTGGCCTATACCGTAGGTGGTGCAACAGCATCTGATGCTGATGATGCTGATGCTGGTGAAGCGGGTCTTGGTGGTGGCGGCGGTGGCAATGGGAATGTGGCGCCATTACTGCAGTCCAAGGAGTTCAAAGAGACGAATTTTTAAGCTACCCACACTCAAACGCGATTTCATCACATATAAAATATATATATTCCCATAAATACGTAGTTTTACACACTCACACACACACACACATATATATAAATATGTATTATTATTTACTTGGTATTCGTGAAGCTTTTATTTAAGTTGTTGATTTGATTTTTCGAGTTTGTCAGCCATAGTATATAGCCATTTTTGAAATGCACAAGCAAAACGACAAATTGCCTCAAACGTTTTAAACTACCAAAAAGAAAACAATTTTATATAAATGGATCAATGTAAACCATATTTTTACACCTTCATACCTTAGCATATGCAACACCTACATGCAGCAGCTTATTGTGAATTTGTAAATTCTAATAATTGAACCAGTTTTTTATGCAACCAATGAAATGCACTTTAAGGCGCTGCATGTGATCATTGTAACGCACAGCTTAAATGCAATAAATAGGGGCTGTGCAAAACGGGCCTAGAGCAATCGAAATTGAATAAACGCATTAAAAAAACTTAAAGGTTCTCTTTTCACTATTTATAAAACATTAAGTTAATTTCATTTCAGTTCCTTACGCATCCAGATGCATTTTTCAAGCATGCTGTCTATATAAATACTTAAGTCTTAATTCAGCCTGATTGCACAACAAAGATAATGTCGATCTAGGCGACAAATCACCGATTCTCGTCCAACTTGATAATCTCAACTGTTTCAACTGTTGGTAGCAACCTTCTGACTGTCGCGCATGCGCAACAGCAGTTTCGCAATTGTTTGAGCACGCTTTGGTGAGGAATCTTTGACTAATTTGTAGAAATGCTCCACGCTGCACAACGTTTGAGGCTGCAATATAAAATAGGCAAGATTATAATAATTTTCTTAAAATTATTATACTTTTAACTCACAATGGTTTCAGAATCCAGTTGGGCCTGTGCCTTATTAGCGAGTACCCACAGTTTTACCGCCAACGCACACAGCGGTTCCCTCTCGAGATCTGCATAGCGCACTATTCGCATAAACAGCTCCATTGAGAGTTGGGCTTGGGTGCGCTGCTGCTGAGCCGCTCCCAAAGCCTTAAGCTGGAGCAGTATGGCCTCCACGACCTGGCCACACAGATTATTAACCTCAGCTAGGAACTTTGGATCGTGCCCATAGAGTGCATCGTTTGAAACCACTAAGAAGAATATTATTTGGCTATGCTTGAAGTTATATTACATATATAGCAGGGTTTTACCTCCATCGATGTGATATGGAAACTTCTCCATGCTTTGCACATAAAGCATGTCCAAAACATGCAAGTATATTATGGCGGGTGCACTACTATTCGCCTTGAAGGTTCTTCTGCCGACGATATCTAGCAACAGGCGTAGGAAGTACAAGACGCCCTGTTCTGGACTATCGGGCACTACGATTAGGGTGGCTAGCATGTTACAGAGATACGCGACTAGGTAGCGCTCCAAGCAACGTGGCTTGCCTTCGAAATCAACGGTTGAGGCCGGCAGCTCGTCAATCAGCTGTAACGCAGCCTCAAAGCACGCATCCGCTAATAGTAAAGAGAGTTTCAGTTATCAATTCAGCATATCATTTTCAGAAAATATCCATACCTTGCCCCAAGCACAAGTGACGCAGAGCTAGTTGTCCACACAGTAGATACAAATCCATTTTCTGCCGAACGGAAGTAATGCTTGGAATGGTTATAAAGCAATAAGCAACGCACGCTTTGATGAAACCCAATGATTTGGCGCCTTGCCGATTAGACGCCTGCATAGTTAGCTTCAGGGCAGCATGCACGAGGGTTACATAAACTGCGTCCAAGTTGCTAAAAGTGCCGCGTCCCTCAACATAGAAGCTAAGTTGTTGCTCCAAATCTTTTCCAAAATGCACCTTATTTATGAAACCATTGATAAGCTGCGAAATCTGTCGGCGCTCATCCTCCACAGTAAGTGCGCTATAAATACGTTATTAATAAATTAGTTATAGAAATTGGGATTGCATTCATTCAATTACTTGACCGAGTCGTTGAGAATCTTGCCAAGATACATGAGTGCATTTGTGACAACCGCATCGCTGGTTCTCTCCTCACTATTTTGCCGATAGTAGCTCAGTATTGACTTGCACATCTCCACCCGCACCGACTCCTTGTGGAACAGATCCAAATAAGGTAGAAAATGTGGCTGTATCAGCAACAGCTCAATACTTCGATAGTTTTGCATTATTCTAGTTAAAATGCTTTGCAGCTGGCCATAGTGCTTCTCATATGCTTTACCCAGGCACATTCGTGTATTCAGTTCGCCAAGCAAACGATTCACTTCGTGTATCTGAAATGCGAAATTAAATCATTTAGTTATTGGATTCAATTAATAATTTCATACGAACCGTAAAATATTGTGCTACAAACGGTGCCCAGGTCTCTACACAGTTTATATATTCGTTCGGATCCGTAAGGGTGTTAATCGTTTGAAACGCTGCGTTCAGAAAAGCCAAGCGCTGCTCCTGCAACGGAGCACAACTGCTTACGCAACTACCCAGCGGTCGCAATAACTGAGATTTTGAAATGCCAGGTGTGTCGCTGTTGTTGATGAGCTCCAAGAACTCGTGAGCATATGCGGCAACGAATTCCCCCTTTGAGGAGTTCAGTATAGATAAAAGAATAGCGCCGCTAGGAAAACAAAATCATAATTGCAAACGGAAATATTAGCATGCAGATATAGGTATCCTACTTGTTCTTCAGCTGTTTGCATTCCTTGAGCATTTCTTGTGCGTAAAGATCGCTTTCGTGGATCAGACACTGCAACATATAATCAAAAGCAGGCGCATATAGCTGTAAATAGGCGCCGGCCGTAATTATCTCTGGATGCAAATTGTAGCGGGCAACGATGCGAAAGATCTGAAGGACAAAAATTCGGTTATATAGGTGTAAATTGTGCGATTACATTATAGTATGATCAACCCACCTGAGGATATATCGTGAAGAGATCTGTAAAGTTGTCGCGTATATAAACCTTACTGCGTGTGACCGTTACACCGACGCGCACAAGGTAACATCGCGCATAGCTGGACACCAGTGGATCAGCAATGCCACGCAGCTGGCTGGTGAGGCGTAATAGCACTTGCTCTATTTCCTTCTGCGTGGCAGCCAGCAACTCGTAACACTTGAAGATGGCCATTTCCAGATAGAGACGCGGTAACAGCTCGCGTATAGAGGCAATTTTATAGAACCAATTTTGGCAGGTGTCCCGCGCAGCTTCGCGTTCTCTTTGTAGAAGGGCAGCCGACGCTCCTGGTGCACCCTCCGCCTTTATACGCAAACGCTCGTACACCAGCTTGCCAAAGACGTCCAAGATGTCCGTGATTAGAATATACTGACTGGGATAGAACTGCAGCACACTTGTGTCCGACAGCATCTTTGCACACTGTATGGCTATCTTCAGAGCCTTGACGCGTTGATCGTTGTGCCATGATTGAATGAGCTCCTGTTTTAGCTGATCGAAGCGCTGTATGTACTCCTGCTGGGTGAGGTCCATCATGTGCCGCATGCTGCCATCGTCGAAATTATCCAGCTGCTCCAGCCGATACTTGACCTTGTCGGCCACCACCGTCTGGGCCTTGACTGTCATAGAAGGACATTGAAAAAGATTAACAACTTCATTCCATTGATTTATTTTGCTAACGTATGTATTACAGTTTTCACCTCCGCCTTCCGTGCTGCTTGTGCATAAAAAGCTGGTGGATAGAGATAGCTTTTCATTGGTAGTGAAGCGATTCAATATGCCTAGGCGGCGTGTGCTCCAATTAAGGGTGCTATCCTCCGGTTCACTTGCATTACCACGTTTAGACTTCAGCATTTAAGATGAATCATGTTATGTCAAAAATAAGAATGTGTTTCACAGTTCACTTACAAATTCACTGGACATTTGGGTCAGCGGATCATTGAGCTCTTGGTCCTGGCGTGCAAACTTGGACAATGGGTCAGTGCCTTCGAGAGCCAATGCCAGGCTGAGCGGATTCTTGTCCGCGACCTAAATTAGTTTGGCAAGTTAGTTGTTTATAATGGGCGGAGGTTTGTTGTTCTCTTACCGTGACGTTGACAGTGAGCTGCTTAAGCGGATGCTCCTTCGTTGGCTGGCCATGTAATTGGTTTTTAACTACTTGATAGCAGCGTGGGGCACAAAACCTACGTGAACATTTATTTATTTTTTTTTTTTTTTTTATAAACAATAATACATTTTCTCGAGAGACATACCATTCCAAGCTTGCCATGTCGTGCTTTGCAACGCTGTTAAGTGCGGCGTAACTCTGTTAATTCAATGTAAAATTTTTGACATTCACAGTGAATGGCAAAAAAAACAAATAAAAATAGTTGGCAACGCGAGACATATCCGCGCATCATTTTCCACCATTATTCCATAAAAAATTATTTTTATTTAAAAAGGATGGCAAAAGTACCGAATAAATGGCTAAAAAACACTTGCCGAGTGTGTGGTAAATACGCTAGTTTCAAGAAATCCTTTAAGATATTCGATAAAGCTAATAAAAAGCTACTGGGCAATATAGAAACAATGACGGGTCTGAGGGTAAGTAAGCAGCGACTCTGCTTGGCCAATTATATTAAACTACATCTATTCTGTTAACTTAAGCTGGAAAGCTATCCTTGCTTACCTGAACTGATGTGCGAGTGTTGCAACATCGAGCTAACAAGCGCAATCAGGTTTCGAGACAGATGCATCAGTGCACAGCGTGAATTACTGGCTGGCCTCACCCAACAACAACAGGAGACAATACCGGAGAAGTACAAAGCACTCATTATGGGAAATGAAACACTGACGCCTTCAGCTGAGGAACAAGAAATCGAAGCTGATTCAGAACCTGAAGTCGAAGCTGAACAGGAAATTGATCCTGATTACCAACAGGCGGAGGAAGACGACCTTGCCAAGCTGTTGCCGGAAAGTAGTGGCACAGTGGCAAAGGTGAAGTATGAGATAGACCCGGAATTCACTGATTTAATCGAAGCTGATGAGGATGAAAATGACTCACTAGTGGAAGAAACACAATATGAATGCCTAATGGCTGATGATGATGGAAATATTGTAAAAATTGAGAACGTGTCGGATCAAGTTATCGTGCCTGATCCCACTGAAGTGTATTTGTATGATTCTGATGACGAGGTGGCCGTTCTAGACAACGTACTCGACGATGAATACGAGCATGAAAATGTTGTGAAAAAGTGCAATTTGCCACCTAAGCCAAAAATCAAACCCGAAGATCCGCGAAGGAGAGGAGCAGGTGGCGTTTACATTTGCGAACAGTGTGGCAATCACATAAAGGGACGCATGGCATTTGAGTTGCATTGCCGTAGGCATCGGGGCGAGAAAGATTTCCAGTGCGAGTAAGTGAAACAAATTCATTCATAAATACCAATTTAACATTTATTTAACTTTCCTACCAGAATCTGTGACAAGTGCTTCTGCACAACCTCTGAACTCAAACGCCACATGCGTAAGCACACTGGAGAACGTCCGTTTGCCTGCCAGTACTGCGGGCGCTGCTTCTCTGACTATACAACTCGAGTGAAGCATGAGCGCACCCACACCAATGAGCGGCCCTATGCATGCGGCACTTGCGGCAAGGCTTTCACCACGGGTTACATTCTTAAAAACCACATGCTGACACATTCCGGCTTGAGGTCTTATAGGTAAAAAATAGCACGTTCAATGAAAAAGAAACTGTTTGGTTGAATGCATCTGGCTCTATTTATAGGTGCGAGCTGTGCGATAAGTCCTTTATGCTGCCTACTCATCTAAGTACCCATATGCGAACGGGCGTACACAAGCGTACCTTGGAGAAATATCAGATGAAACAACAAATGCAGCACGACCCGGCAGTTCAGCTTAAGTTGGAAATGGATGAGGAAAGCTTGCATATTCAGGACTAATGACATAATAATTTGTATAATTTAAGCTTAACACCCAAAATAGGATTACCTATTCTTATTATTAGTTAAATTTACACAATGTCTACATTTAATAATCATTAAGAATTTAACAGCTATCGGCCCATACTCTGCGGTATTTCGGAGATGCATTATTGTAAATTTTATTAAAAATATTTAAGAAATAAAAACAATTTAAATTTATGCATTTCAACAATAAAACAATTCAATTCAATTCCAAATAAATAAACAAATTAATGGTTTAGAAATACTTATACAACACTTCTAGCCTCAGTCAAGACGGTGGATGCGGTTTTACGCAGTCATGTGAATGGTAATAAATAAGAAAAACAGCTGTAGCTTCAAATGACGCTGTTTACTAAAATATTTGTTTGAGCTCAACAATAGTATTTTTTTTTTCTATTAATTTGTGATTTTATTAATACACACGATGCTTAAAAACATGTGTAGAGTATGTGGCAGATATGCTGCCTATAAGAAATCATTAAGAATCTTTGAAAACAAATATATGTTGTGGAGCATCCAACTTCTAACGGGCTTGATTGTAAGTATTTATTTATATTTATTTTGAAGCCAATTGACCACAAATATGTAAATGTATTGCAGTTGGAAAATACAAGTTGTTTGCCAGACCTAATATGCATTTGTTGCCAGACAGAATTACGAGAGGCAATAAGGTTTAGCGAAAGAGTAATAGCGGCGCAACAGCAGCTCCTATCAGCGTTAACTGAGGAAGAGCTGCAGAATGTATCCGAGGAGTATAAAGTGGCGGTCATGGAATATGCTAGCAGCAGTAATCACCCACTAATTAATAAAATCAGCTCAGAACCCACGGCTATAACTGAAGAAGAACCTGCAGCAAATGAAGAGTTGGTAGTCAAAATTCAAACGGAGGAACAGGAAATACTTATAGAGGAGCATAATCAAAATGATGAACTTTTGGAATATAACATAAAAATTGATGATGAACTAATTAGACAAGCAGCTGAATCACAGGACGTCGATACCTTCGAAATATTGGAGGCTTCAACCAAAGAGCAGCAGCAAAATGAACTTCTAGACGATGCCAACGAAAATTCAATTACCGAAGATTTTATTCTGCCTGATAAGGACTTAGATGAGGAGTGTGCGGTTTTGGACAGAGTACTAAACGATGAGATCGCCGCCCAAAGTGAGGGAAAGAAAAAGCGCGGCCGCAAACGTATAGGAAGTCTCATATTCGTTTGTGATGAATGTGGTAATCACATATCTGGACGCATGGCCTTTGAACTACATTGCCGCCGACATCGTGGTGACAAACAGTTCGAATGCGAGTATGTTTACGAATGGCCATAAAACTATAAATAAATATATTTATTAAATAAATAATCATTTGCAGCGTTTGCCAGGATCGTTTTTGCACCAGCTCGGAACTGAAGCGTCACATTCGTAGGCACACCGGAGAGCGTCCGTTTGGCTGCCAGTACTGTGGCCGTTGCTTCACGGACTACAGTACCCGGTTGAAGCACGAGCGGACACACACAAATGAACGACCATATGTGTGCACTAGCTGCGGCAAGGCATTTACTACAGCTTACATTCTAAAGAATCACATGCTTATTCATTCCGGCGAACGTGCTTTCAAGTGAGGACTATTCGGCGAACAATACATTTAATATTATTTAATTACCCATTCTCCACTTACAGATGCGAACTGTGCAATAAAACCTTTTTAAGGCAAACCCACCTGGCCACTCATTGTCGGTCTAGAGCGCACGAGCGCAACCTGGAGCAACAAACACAAAAAAAGAAAACTAAGAGTTAATTGATATTAAAAAAAACACATATGTAGTAATCCAAGTATTTGTTTTTGTATATTCATTTTTTATTCTAAGTCAAAAGTGGAATTTTTATACAATTAAAGAAGAAATAAAATTCATCCATAAAAGCAAAAAGATACAAGATACAATTTTAAAATGAAATGGGCAATTGTGAGCGGATATAAAGTCATTTTACAACACTAGCTAGTGAGAATCGATTGCTGCGCTGTGTGAATGGTACCAATAAACAAAAACAGCTGTTATGCAGACAACATTGTTTACCAAAATATTTGAATTGCGCAAAAAGTATTAGTTTTTTGTTGCAATGATCAATAATATTTGTAGACTCTGTGGTAAAAATACCGCCAAAGAAAACTCATTAAGAATTTTTGAAAACAAAAATATTCTTTGGAACATTCAAGTTTTAACGGGATTAGTCGTAAGTAATACAATAACAAACTACTTTTAATGTTCTATAATAGAATTTGTATTATATCTTTATGAAAATTTAGTTGGAAAATGCAAAATGTTTGCCGGAACTTATATGTAGCAGCTGCCAGAAGGAATTGCACGAGGCGATCACATTTAGCGATAAAGTAATTGCCACACAGCAACAACTTCTGTTGGCGTTAACTGAGGACGAGCTACAGGAAGTATCCAAGGAGTATAAGACAGTCATAACGGAACAAGCTATCAGCAGTTGTGAGAAATCAGTTGATCAAAACAACACTGAAGCTCAAGATGAGCTAATTGAGGAGTCAATCATTGAAACCAACCTGATAGCAGAAGATATTATTATAGAGGAACAAGACAAGCCTGATGATTTACTGGAATACGATATAATCATAAATGATGACACAATCGTACAGGAGGCTGAAATAGACGTTCGAACTTTGGAAACAATAGAAACAACTGATGAAGACCAATATATATTGGTTAACGAGCCCGATGGAAATACATCTTCCGCAGATTACATGCTGAGCGAGAAGGAGTGGAGTGACGAAGGTATAATATTAACTAAGGAAGTAAACGGCGACGAAGCCGTAGAGCCACAAAATAACATTAAAAATAAACGAGGTAGAAAACGACTCGGGAACCTAATATTTGTTTGTTATGAATGCGGAATTCATATATCCGGGCGTGTGGCCTTCGACTTGCACTGTAGACGACATCGTGGTGACAAGCAATTCGAATGCACGTAAGCATTAAAAAAAAATATATATGAAATGAAATTTATATAAATTTAATACTTGTATATTTACTGCCAGCATTTGCCAGAATCGTTTTTGCACAAGCTCTGAATTAAAGAGCCACATGCGCAGGCACACCGGGGAACGCCCCTTTCCTTGTCACTATTGTGATCGATACTTCGCCGACAATAGTACTCGGATTAAGCATGAGCGGACACACACCAATGAGCGACCGTATGCATGCGAGACCTGTGGAAAGGCCTTCACCACAACCTACATACTTAAGAATCATATGCTCACTCATTCTGGCGAACGCGCCTTCAGGTGAGGTCTACAATGTCTATTTATTTTATGACGCATTAGCTCAGTCGTATGTCCTCCAATTTCAGCTGCGAGCCGTGCAACAAAACCTTTCGCCGACATACTCATCTTGTTACACATTTTCGGTCTAGAGCTCACAAACGTAAACGAGAACGCCAAAGCAAAGATATTTTAAGTACAAGTTAGCATGACTTAAAGAGGCATATCTACGCTTTGTATCAACTTTAATTATTGAATAACGACAAAGTAAACTAATAAAACAAGACAAATATATTTAACAGTCATTTTTAAGGTCACTTAAAATATTTGTATTATATTTTATATTTCTTTGAATGCACACATCAATATTTTTATCATTTACTTGCGATTAATTCCATTTGACCAACGGTTCATTGTTGAATTTAATAATGAAATGGCAATCACAGCTTCACTGCTTCAAAGGCACTTCAACTGTAACAGGATTAGATAGTGGCAAGATTACTCCATTTATAGGGTCCAAGTCGGTCGAGTTGGCAGCCGGCTGCTGTGACGCACATGACTTTTCCACATTCTGCTTGTGGGTATTGGAGCGATAATGAGTCTTCAGATGAGTTGGCCGTGAAAAAGAGCGTTCACATAAGTCGCATCTGAGAAAAAATGAGAAAACAAAATTTTTAAAATATGTATATCCAGACTGAAAGATATTTAATATAAATATGCTTACAATATTATTTGACTGTCGAGAATTAAATAAGGAGAACTAAAAATAGTAGGTTTCATTTAAATTTGAGGTCAACTTTCAAGTTCATTAACTGATTCTAGCTGGAAATAATGATACAATAGCTAATAAATATGTCAGTTTGTTTCAAGAAACATTTTTGCATTTTTGCAGAAGCTCCAGCGGCTTCTGCATGAAGTTAAAAATAAAGAAAGAAAATCAAAATTACTATGTTCCACCCTACTTAACTTAACCCTACCAGCTTTCGTAAAGTCGGGAAAAACTTTGAAGTTTCAATTGAAGGTAATTTCGTCTGCGTCTGTCACACACAGCAACAGCTTTAATACTCCCTTTCTTCTTTAATGCTTATACTTGTATATTTGTATGTAGTTGCTTATTTCTTTTGAATGGTGAAGAAACCGGTTTGTAAAAACAATACGCACACACATATACACACACACATTCATGCTTAGGTAGGCATATGTGTGTATACCCTCTAAAAGACTAAAAAAGCTTTTTCATTGCTTAGCGGTTGCATTGGTTTGCTCGACTCGTACGAGTTGCAAAGACAAACAGTTTGAGTTAGGTTTGAGCTGAGGTAGGTGCGTCTATTTTTCGTTGCTTAAGGCAATCTCTAAAATCGGCGGTATATATTAAATAAACCTAAGCAAAGTAAGTGTGGAAATAAGTGTACAAAGCTATGTTTGCATAAAGAGATAGTAATAAACGTAGCAAACATTCGAATACTGTTTGGCAACACGTCTTAATCGTGGCCTAAAGACTTGCTGATCATGGTATAGAGACATTCAAGGTTGCATGCCAACTTTTCTAGTAATGCACAAGCAAGCGAAACATTGCAAATCTAAAACAATGTGATATGTGACTCTTATTAACTACATATTATACAAACCCAAGTAAGGAATGTTTCAGCCATAAGGCCTAACAAGAAATATCATCCACAAGTTGACATAAGTTCAATGTGGGCGATACTTAAAACGCTTAGTCAGGTATAAATATCGATGATATCATTATGAGCTTTTTTTTCGAACAGCTGTAGACAAGACCCCAAGATCATGTACATTTATGTTGTATATGTTACAAACGATGACATAGATCAAAGATAATATTTCTACTAATCTAATTCGCTTTCATCTTAAAGATTCTTCTTTCAAAATGAGGAGCAATCTGTTGGCAATCTTTGTTTTCACGGCACTATTATGTGGCACATATGCTACTCTCAATGAGAAGAAAATCCTCAAAGAGAAGGATATGATGAGGAAAATTGTCTTCGACAAAAAGACACCAGATGTCTTTTACTGTCCCATACAGAAACCCTCTTCGATGAGTAAAATCATTGTCACGTAAGTAAAGTTTAAATTCTTTCATGAGTCTTCACAAATACGAATCAAATATTCATTTTAAAAATGCTTCGAACTACTTTAGAGCACGGCCTCTACACAAATTGTGCGAATACGAAGGCAATCCGTTGCCAGCTGAATATAAATCCGACTGCTATTTGGATATTGATGAAACAGATTATGCATGCAAGGAGAAATATAGAATCATGGTAAGCGATTACACAAATTGAATCCTGCCCCATCATTAGCCAAAAACTGATGTTAACTAAATTAAGTCAATTAATCAGTGCAGTTCCACCAACAAATTATAAAAACAATTCAGGATGCTTACATTTTTAGCTTATGTAATTAATTTTATAAGGTAATCTCACCTTAGATTGTCAGACATTCGTGGGCGGACATATATGTATGGTTTGAAACCGTTTGGGTATACAATTATATAATATATATTAAGTGAACCTTTTGTAATTCCAAGTTGTTTTTGTTAATTGCTCACCAATTGTTAAATTCACAAATTATTTTAAGTAAATATTTAATATTCCATATTACCTAAAATTGCTGACGTTGCACTTGTAAATCAAATTATCCAATAAGTTTTATAGCATAACACATTCTAATCTTAAGTTTTGTTTAATTACAGAAACGATTCGCCAAAGACGAACCCTAATACAATAATCACAAACAACACAACAAATTTTAACAGCTTATTGTACATTATCATTGCACCATACGCTGACAGCTTTGAGTAACTGGATAACACGGCTAAATATCACAGTTTTATCGCTGTACTTATATATATATATATCTATATATATTTGCATATAAACTCAAAACTTACAAAATACACAACACATTTACCAAATAGCACAAACCCCAAAACAAAACAAAACAAGGACTAGAAAAACTAAAACTAACGAGAATTTATAGTTATAAAAATATATCGTAGTTTGGTTCAAATGCTTCGAGAGAAATTAGTTTTATATAATTAATTTTTTAGATCGTCGCCTGAACCTAGCTATAATAGATAAGTTTTTATTGGGGTTTTTAAATAGAGACATTAATTTCATTACTACGCGCCATGATCAAAATGTAAATGGAAACTGACTTGATAAAAATGTGACATGGTCTAAATGAAGTTAATATTTTAACGGAAGTTAAATGCCATGATCAATATTTTTAGACAAGTCTTCCTGGTATATCTAATAGAAACTTGGTTTGGGGTATCCGGATAAAGATTATATTTGAATTATTCGCTTTTCAATTGTAATGTGTAAGTATATAACCTTTGGAGTATTTAAACAAACTAACAACAAATACAACAAAAATAATTGTTTACTTAAGTAATTTAACGATTTTTGTTTTAATATACCCATTCATTAGATGCGTAAATTTCCACCGGGCAGCGATGAGCCATTCAACGGCGCCCGACTCAAGCGATTCATGACCTATAAGGAAGTCAACTAAAACTTATCTAACGCAGATGGGACGAGAGCGAATATTTTGGGACCTGATTCTGAGCGGGTTAAACTATCATCAATCTACTTACAGAAACAAATCTACAAATTGTACATTAACTGTTTAGATAATAAATATATGTATTTATACACTTGCCTAAACAAACGCTCGCCCGTGTGCACCAGATTATGATTTTTCAGTATATAGGAATTAGTGAACGCCTTGCCGCAGTGTGCGCAGACGAATGGACGCTCATTGGTGTGGGTGCGCTCGTGACGCAGTCTTCCGCTGTAGTTCACATAGGTCCGATCACAATAGCGGCATGAAAACTTGCGATCTCCAGTGTGCATCACTTGATGACCCTTTAGCTCGCCGGATGAGAGAAATCGTGCTGAGCACTGCCTGGAAGCATAATATACGAGTGCATTAAATATCATTGGCTTAGCATTACCCTTGGCAATCTTACTCGCACTGGAAGGGTCTTATGCCCTTATGTTTACGTAGATGTCGGTCAAAGGCTGACTTGCCGGTGACATTATTACCGCACTGATCACAGAAGAACACCGGTAGCTTTTGTTTACTCCGCGGCTCCTTCGAAATGGTGCCTTTCGCCAATCGTCGACGTCGTTTGGTTTCGATGGAAGGTACATAGCTTTCATCTTCCATCGAGGTGGCGATCGCCGCGTCATTGCAAGTTTCTATATCCAAATGCTCCACACAGTCATTTTCAACACCATTATTCGGATGCTCCACTTTGATTAGCACTTCAATGGGACTCAACGGAGCTTTCATCTCCTCATCCCCGCTCGCACAACGTACACGAGTGCGTGCACTCCGACGTACACAAATCACGCGTGTGGAAGACGTTGGACTCGTTGGAGCAGGACTGGATATTCCCTTCGGATGCTGCACCCATCTTTTGTGACTGCGTAGGCAACGATCTCGAAATTCAATGGCACATTTCAAATCATTTTGGCAGCCGTTGCATATAACCTCAGGTAAATCTGGTTTGTCTTCCAACTGTACGGTTTACTTAAGTGATTATTTAAACTATTGATTGATTCGTGTTTTTTCATAACTTACACAAACTCCGGTGAGTAGTTGTATTTGTTTCAAAAGTTGGCGTGAGCTTCTATCGAAAAGATTTTTTGCCTGAGATGCATCAGTATCAATTTCACAGATGCGGCAAATATTTTGCAGCATTTTTTGCAGCGAGCCCCGGTTAATTGTAATCCAATCAATTGCGAATGTAAACAAAGCAGCTGCTGTCCCACACCCACGAATACCAACCACCATTCGCCCAGACGCGTCAACAGGTTGTTGTCGTAATACAACACTGGCCCCAAAATAAAACTTTAAATTCTATATATGTATGTATGTATATACTTATTCCCACTGCTCCGCAACTACAAATATGCATCTATTTTGTTGTTTTTCTCTCGTTCATTCGTTTTGATCTGATGTAACCTGAGCGTATTGCTGCTTCTCAACGTTCTGTTTGTGTGTAGTAGAACGATAATGCATTTTAAGATGAGTTTTACGCTGAAAGTCGCGTTCGCAGATATCACATCTGCTGATACAATTAGAAAAACGGTTAAAGTATACATATATTTACAAAAGACTTGTTAACTTGCCTAAACAGCCGCTCGCCCGTATGCACCAACATATGATTCTTAAGCACATAGGAATTCGTGAACGCCTTGCCGCACTCCGCGCATACATAGGGTCGATCATTGGTATGCATCCGCTCGTGTTTCAGTCGTCCCGTGTAGCTCATGTAGCGGCGTTCACAGTAGCGACATGGAAAAGGTCGCTCTCCCGTGTGAGTGAGACCATGAGCGCGCAGCTCAGCAGCCGATAAAAATCGTGCCGAACACTCTCTACGAAATGTAATTCAATATGCATATATATTCACAAATATTCACTCAAGTGAAATCTTACTCGCAACCAAAGGGACGTTCCCCCGTGTGCTTCCGCCTGTGTCGCTCGAAAGAAACCTTGCTATTTGCATGTGTGCCACACAATTCACAAATATAAATGGTTGCCTCTTGCTTGGCTTTTAAAAGTTTTTTACAGCCGTTTGACGAATGTTTTAGCGACGAGGGAAGCTCGAGCTTCGCACTATTTGCTTGATCTTCTGCTTTGATATTCTCACTGTCATCTGTGTCGATGTCAGTGTTTGCCTTCATGATGAAGCTTTCAGCCAAATGATCTTCTTCCTCGGCTAGATTGGAGCGCTCCCAATGGCTATTGGTTTGACACTCCTCAAGCAAAACTTGCACTGTGGTTTGTGGCTCATCGTCGGAATCACTTTCTCTATATGTGCTGTCATGGATCTGGCGATTCGATGACTTTGGACTTGGACTAGGGTTTGGGCTATCCTGTTCACTAAGAGATGATCTATCGCTTACTTCAACGTGCGGTTTCCATTTCTTTTGAGTCTTAATGCATAGCCTTCGAAATGACATGGCCCGCTTCAGATCCGATTGACAACAAAAGCATATGGTCCCGGGAGCATCTTGCAAGTCCCGAAGCTACTTTGATTAATGATAGTTACTTAAACCAAATTGATCCTTTCCTCTTACGTAGCTTACCCAGCACCCAGTTAACATTTGAATATGCCGGACTAATTTCTGATTTTTAATTTCGAACAGATTTAAGCTTTTCTCACATGATTTACTTTTTCCGCAGATGCGGCACATTTTTACGAACATGCTGAACCAGCATTAGCTTTGACGTTACATTGGGAACTTAGAGAAATGCATTTTCCGCTAGAAGATGTCAGCTGCGTTGACAATCACACGAAGCGCTGACACACCCAAATGTGAAGTTTGCCCTCCATTAGCTATAACGGTTTTTGTGATTTCAAATTTGAATTTCCCCGCCAATACTAACAGTGCTATGCGACAAACCACAAAAGAAAACGCAAATATTTGCATGTTCCATTAGGCAGCGCTGTTGTGCGATTTATTTGAACAAAGCGGTTTTTATAAAACTACTTGGATTTTCAAAGCTACTAGAAATTTTGTAGGCTAAAGAATGTTCTTCAATCAGGCCTGGGAGCTGTTGCTATCCTCGTATGATTTAATTTGGTTATGTTTCAGCTGCAAGTCCTTGTGGAATAGTATTTCATGTCGCAGAGCGTCTGCCCGTTCGCGCACAATCTTCAAATCCAGCAACTCCAAGCGACGTTTCTCAATTAGCACGCGAAAACGATGTAGTTCTAGCTGTCTTTGCCGTAAAGTTGGCAAAGTATTGTTCGAGTTGTTTCCGGTTGCCGTGGTTTTGTTCCCATTTCCCTTTGAGGTGCCTGCATTTGATGGCGGTGCAGTCATCTTGCTGCGCCGCTTGATCTTTGAGTTGGTATTCTTTGCGTCAGTCGAAGTAGACAAATCGATTGCATTAGTAAGTTTTCTGGATTTGGACGATTTCAGCAAAGGGATTCGTACCTCTAGCGAGCCAGAGCAGCACGAATCGCTATCATCGAGTATACATATGCGGTTGGCAAACTTGGGTGCAACCTCGCGCACTACAGCAGTCTGATAGGGCGGAAAGAAACACGTCTCCAGTTTCAGATCCGCAACAGCGAGCTTGGGCTTGGAAGAGCTTGCCGATCTTGGTGACGAGTGCTCTGCGAGTACATCCTTGCTGCGTCGATTCTTAAGGGACTCGTGTGATGGCCTGTACCGCAACGCCAGCGATGGTGATTCCTCATCGCCTAACTTCTTGCTGCGTATCCGATCGTACAAACTATGCCAGATTCCAATAGCACGTGCCCGCTTTGTGCTGGCCAAGTCCTGCACTGACTCGTGCGACGGCTTATAGCGTATGGCCAGACTAGTAGCCGACTTGGAGGGCGACTCCTGTGTAGAGGTCTGTCCCTTCATTACCAGCTGAAAGTTACTATTGGAAGAGCCCAAGACTTGTGGATTGCTTGTGCTCGGCAGGTTGTGATAGGAAGTGGATCTGGACGAACCCTTGGACTCATTCGAGATGCTTGTATAGTTAACCACTGAATCAAAGACTTCCTCTTCCCCGTCGCGAACCTTCCACATCACACGACGGCTGGTATTCGATTGTGATGATACAACACTCTCCACTACTCCGGACGAAAGGAAAACTTTATAATCCGAAGCACAAAATGGTTTCTTAGAGCTTACCAGACTTTTGTTTTTGATCCATAGCTAAAATGGGCTATAGAACGCAATTATATTAGATGTTGAGTTGAAACGAGGGGCCCTGTAAATCTGGAACAACTGTGTACGTCGTGCTTTTTTTATAAACTAACTCAAGTCTTGCTACACAAAATTATGAGAGTAATACTTACAGGGCCTACTACCCATATAATGACACAAAATGCACGATATACATAGTTTTTCTTATTCATTTTCTTTAATTGGTATTTTTCATCGAGTGTATATAATTTGTCATAAAATCTATTTGCTTTTTGGTTTTTTTTCTTGTTATAACTAAATTGTGTTACATTCTTTGGTTGTTCAATTATCGATTTTTAAAATGTTCTTTTAACATTTTGGTTTCCAATAGAAATTATATATATATTTAAATATTTTACAATAAAGGTGGCAAACATAGGACTCTTTAATGTTATGTGTCTTACTAATTTTAGGTGTTTTCTAATGGGTTCGCACTGCACTAATTATTTGTTTGAGATTGTTATTTGACTAGAGAGGGTTAATCGAGAAGGAACCACATAGGAGACTCAATGGTTTGACTAGCATTTGGTGTGCGGAGTTTAATGAAATGCGATGAGACTGAATGGATGCCGGAGGTGGGGTGGAGAAACAACATGTATGTGTTAAGTATCTTCATCATCTACGATTCAATTCTCATCTACTTATACATTGATTTTATGGCTTCTTGAACGGCTTAGATACGCTATATAGTTTAGTCTAGATTTATATAAAGTATTTCTTTAAAGTACACACATTGCCTTTAGACTTTTTCGTGGGCCAGTTTGAGTTTCTCTGTATTCATTATGGTTTTAGATATAA